AGTCGTCTGGGTCGTCCACCTGGAAGACTTTCCAGACGACTTTACCAAGACTTCCAGTAGAACATTTGAAAGCTGACCAGACGAATGAGACGAGAACAACATCCAACCTAACTAGACCACAAATCGATTGAAATCCCCAATCTTTGAAACCCTAATTTGAGAATGAAAATATCCACAAATTGCTTGAAATCACAAATCGAACCGTGAAAGGAGAGGAAAGCAACATCCAACCTAACTAAACAACAAATCGATTGAAATCCCCAATTTTTGAAACCCTAATTTTAAACCAAAATTTCCAGAAATCGTTGAAAACACAAAACAAAACGGTAAAAGTAAAGGAAAACAACATCCATCCTAATAAAAACCCATAAATCCGCAAGAGAAGCCTTCGATTTACCTTGGTCTTGTATCGGATCGAAATCACCTCGAAATCACCTTTGAGAGAAACGGCGTTAGGGTTTTCTGAATTTCGCGAAAAATGAGTAAAAAAAAAACATCTTATATATGTCCGGTCAAAAATACGGTTAGGTTTAAAAGTAATTTGGTCAAATCCGGTTTGGACGACTTATAATTAAGTCGTCTGTTGATACTATAAGACGACTAAGTCGTCTGCATTATTAAATATATTTACCAGACGACTTAAATATAAGTCGTCCAGACCCTAAACCCTAAACCCTAAACTAAATTGACTAAATTAACTAACTAACCACGTTAAAAAATCAAATTATACTTAAATATTGTTTACTATACACAGAAATAAACACACTTAGGTAAATTTTTAATTTTTCAAAAAAACATTTATGCTTTCAAAAATCTAACCCTAAGAAACACATACAATACTACAACATATGTTGGTGAAACCTAAACCAAAGAATATCATGACTCACTACTTTCACTCATCTATGCTGAAAACANATTTTTAATTTTTCAAAAAAACATTTATGCTTTCAAAAATCTAACCCTAAGAAACACATACAATACTACAACATATGTTGGTGAAACCTAAACCAAAGAATATCATGACTCACTACTTTCACTCATCTATGCTGAAAACAACTGACTTTTGTTATATATTAATTTATATCTCTTAAGAAATATGTTAATTACATAATTCTAATTTTTCATTTATCAAAATATTTATTACACAATTTTTAAATTATTTTTAAGAAAAACTGTCCCAGACGACTTCAAACTAAGTCGTCTGGACGACTTGCGAGGGCTAAAAACGTAAAAAAAAACTCTTTTTTTGTTTGTTCACAAGGGGTTGGTTGTAATTTCAACAGCCTTTTAAGTTACTTTTGCATTTGATTCAAGTTTGGGTTTACTTTTGCATTTCAAATCAAGTTTTGAGTCATATTTGGCAATTTTCCCAAATTGTAATTTTTAACAAAACTGTGGATTCTCAAATGTTATTTGCAAATATCAAACATCAAACATAAAACATCAAACATGTATTAAAAGGGCGATATGAGACAAGGAGAAGGGTTCCACGTGTGCAAAAATAATCCACCAATAGTCTTTTAACGTTTGTCCACGTCATTTGGTAGTGAGTGAATGTTTGTTGGGCTCTTAAAATTGCTAGCCCATTTTGTTTACGGCTGAAACATTACTTTCAAGTTTCGAAAGTCATTTGTGAAATGAAAGCTGATTTCTGTAACTTTTTTTTGGCCGGGTTTTTGATTTTGACGGTCCGTTACATTTAGAAATCTATTTGTAAAATGAAAGCTCATTTATAAAGTGACGTCGTTTCAAAATCCTGTGTTGCCCTAAACACTTTCTCTCTACGAATCCCTTTCCCCATTCCTGAGTTACTCGACTTATCGTTTTCCCTGTACTTTCCCTCTTTCACGTCTCCGTTTCTGCATCTCATCACTAAACCCTCCAATTATTCACTCTCTTTAATCTCTTTTAATATCTTTAATGGTATCCTTTCGATTTCTCGCAAAGAGTTTCTATATAAGCTGTGTAATCAGATTCTGCTTCCTCAATCAAAAGTCCTTTTGTCTTATCCTTATATATTGCCATGTCGTCATCCGGTGCTCAGAATCCGTCGAAAGCAACAACCAACTCGACGCTCTCCTCCTCCATCCTGACCAAACCGACCCGTAAAAACACTGCATGTTCCGATCTCTCCACCGATGTTATTGGGAAAGTCACCGTCTCCTCTGGGAAAGTCGCCGCCTCCTCCGCTGATAAGGGAAAAGGTATCGTCACCGACAACGTTGGAAAGCCGATGCCGTTCAAAGACGTTGGTTTGGGTCCCCATGAAGGTGAAGTGAGATTTCGCTTGATCCACTTTTGGGAGGCGCTTAATACTCAGACGAAGGTCTTGATCGGCCTCGAGATGCTACTCATCGATAATGAGGTATAAGTTGCTTTTAATAAAAATTTGAAATCTAAAACTTGATTTAGTTCATATCCTGAGAAATCTTAGTAGTATATACGATCATGAGGATGTCAATTGAGGAATGCTTAGTTAGTGAAGCGGTTTAAGTTTGAACGATCACTGCATTCATATTAGTTATTTGCTATACAACTTTTTCCATACCACCGCATAATCTAACATACTCTGAAATGGATTTGATTAGACATAAATATTTTTAACTTGAGTCCCTGAAATTTTGTTAATCGAAGATGTGGGTTTACATTTCTTAATAGTTTCTGATTTTATTTATAAGATTAAATGCATAGCTTCTCTAATATTGTCTCCAAAACATTCAACAGGAGACTGTTATCCAGGGCTTTATCCCACAAGGAAGGGTTGAGACTTATTTGCCAAGGTTGAGAGCTGGTGCTACGTACAGACTTAACAAGTTTTACGGCTCCAAAAACAAGAATTTGTACCGGGTTGCTGAACCAATTGCAACTATCACCCTCTCTTGGAACTCTGTCCTCTCTGTTCTTGAGGACACGTCGGTTTGTTTCCCTGAGGACCGGTTTCGGTTCCATGGTTACAAGGAATTTGAAGCTGCATGTGACTTGAGAGGGGACCTATATGGTAAGAACTTAATTTCATCCCCCACTGTCGTTTATGTTGGTTACTGGTTTTAGTGCTTTGAATTATTTTGTTTCTTTAGATTAGTCAATTATTATTTAGTAGTACATGATGTCATTTGAAGCAGAGATGTATATTCACTTCCCATATCTTGGGTGATTTAATTTAATCTTAGATTTTTTATTCTCTATTGCTTTACTATTTACCTGATTGCTTGACTATGGCTCTGCTTTGGTTACTCTTGCAGATTATATAGGCCACATCAGACTGGTGAATGGACAGGTTCTCAATGCCAGTCTTGTGCTTGATGAAGCCGAGATAGCTTCAACCCGTAGGGTTTTCTTCATGTTCAAACACATGAGTAAGTTGTTTTATATCTACTTCCATATTCAAATAATGTTTATATAAAGACGTGAGTTTGTGTTGTCGTAGCGATCCCATTATCAAGCTGTATCTCTGGGACAAGGCTGCTTCTGACTTCATTGTGAAGTTCAAAGCCTCTGCAAGCAATGCACGGGTTATCTTGGTCACCGCGTTAAACCCAAAACGATTTGGAGGTTTGTAATGCCATTTTAATCTTGCTATTTTAGGAAGGCGCAATATTATGTTTAGTGAATTAAATCTGCATTTGTTAGATAGGAGTCAATTATTTTTTTTTTATTTTTTTTTAATTTGTTGTGTATTATGACATTTTTTCTAATATAGGCACCCTATCTCTATGTACTATGACACCGTCACGGGTTTTTATGGACAGTGATGTCGAAGAAACCCGGTATTATCTAAGTTGGTAAGTCTAAATGATTCATGTATTTAAATATAAATAGAGATGCTCCACTGTTATAATACTTTGCTCTATTTTTTTCAGGCTTAACTCCAACGAGGATGTTGCTAACCGAGTTGAAGCACAAGTGGTCACTAAGACTGAGACAGCAACCCTAGAGGGTCTATTCTCCTATATGAAGCTGGCTGATGCTAAGGTATGTTTTCCCATTGTCTGCCACAATCATTAAGATACTCTATCTCAATGTTTTATTAAACTTTTTTGGCAGGTTGCTTGGTTTGAGTGCATAGCCACTATCGATGATGTTGTCAACGGTTCTGGGTGATATTATATAGGATGCGGTGTGTGTCATACTAAGGCAACCAAAGGGGCTACAACACTTACGTGCAAAAAATGTGGGAAGAGTGAAATTGTTGGTGTGCCACAGTAAGTTATTTTATTTTAAATTCTAAGCAAAAATTGCTCACATTGACTACTAATGTTTAAATGTTCCAGGTACCTCTCGAAAATCTCTGTCTATGACCACAGTGAACAGGCTGTATTTGTTCTCCTTGGTGATGCTGGCCAGGAGTTGAATGGGAAGAAAGCGTCTGAATTAGTTGAGAGTTACTACGAGGTAATCCTTAACAGAGGTCTACATATAAAATTCTTCCTAAATATTTAATCAGATTACTGACAATTTACAACTGTGTCTTAGGCTAATGAAAATGCAGGAGCCGATGACTTAGTTCCTGTGCCGCAGGCTCTGGTTGATACTATTGGCCAGTCAAGGAAGTTTATTGTGAAGGTCTCAACCAACAACTTGACCGGCAAGACTCAAGTCTTAACTGTCACAAAAGTGCTCCCTCTTGAAGTTGCAGAGCTTGAAGGCGGTTTAGGAGAAAATGTTGACAATGTAGGTGATGATGGTATGGAGGATACTGCAGCTGAGACGGTGAAAAGGAGTTCGGATGGGATTGAATTGGTTGGGTTGAAGCGTGCCAAGTGTGGCTAATAATCTTTTCAATTGTTGTGCTTTGTTAAAGACTTTGCTTTCATTCCTTCGCTTATGGATTTGGTTTGCTTCATTTTAAGACCTTCGTTATAAACTACTTTGCTACTGCTTATGTGTAGTTACATCTTTGTTTCTCTGGTTTTGATCGTTCTGTGTTACAATCTCTTTGTTTTTTACTTCTTTTTTTTTGGTTTTTTATTTTATTTTGATACATCTGATTCATTCATCACCAAGTTTGTTTGGGGTTTAATCTAATTCATTGTTCACCAAGTTTGTTTCACATTAATGTTTTGGTATACATCAATAATATTACCAGTATACATATGCTAAGTTGCAGGATCAATTATAGAGACCATATTAATATATAAAGGTACATAAAGATTTAAGTTACTATTTTTTTTGGTATGTTGATTTAACTTATTACTAGATCATCTTGACCCGCACAACCGTGCGGGTTTTCTTTTTATTTATAATTTATAAAAAAATTTATCAATAAATAATAATATATTTATATATAAAATTTCATAAAATACTGAAATAATAGATGTTAAAGTACCATTTTTAAACATAACATGAAAATATAAATTATCATTAACAAATATTTATTTATAATATATCTAAATAAATGTTAAAATGTATTGTACGCAAATTGCATAAACTAAAACTTTATATTAAAGAAGATTATATATTTGATTATTTCAGATTATAATTTATGTACCAAACTCAAAAATATATTAGTAAGTAATAACAATCAAAAAAATTATAGTTATATAACATAGAACATTAAATGTAAATCATATATTTACATTTTTTATAAAACTATCAAAATGTCTATTTATGAATGAAAAATCTCTGTGGGTCAAACTCTAGTATATAATTTTTTATTTAGAATTTAGGAATGTATAATGTTATCTAAATAAATTTTAATATCTTAAACAAAAATATTTGTATTTCAAATAAAAGATAAAGATATAGGGTAATATTATGGAAATACAATTTAAAAAGATGCCAAAAAGATTTTTTTTGGAGTTATTTCATTTGTATTAAAAATAGAAAGACAAAGATATTATCATTAAATTATGTAACATTTGATAATCTTCGTAATCTTTCTAAGGAATAGTTCATTTTTAAAAATATCACACATGAATTAAGGTTGTGACTTCTGTTTTAATATATAAGATTTTATGAATGGTCTCCCCTAACTAACCACTTTTAATAATTTACGCTCATTGATTTGAAAAAAAAAGATAAGTATTAATGTTTTTAAAACCTAAAAAGTTAACCAATTGTAAGATAATGATAATAATCGTAAATAAATTTTCATCCGCCCAAACATTACATTATATCTACTCGAGCCGTACAATTGCATTGTCTTCCAGTGCAACTAATACGACCTCATTATGAATGAACTTATATACGCAACTTATACAGCTGAAAAGGAAAGTTGTCTAATTCCCTAGAACAACCCTAACAATCTTCCACGCTAATGTTCTACGCATATGGCGCAGCCAAATTCAAGGCCTCTCCCAATCCCAACACGACTCGACGCTCCTCACCAGAACAGAAGCAGGTATGTAGAGTTAATCAATGTATTCGATGTATATGTTCATTGGTTGTTGATACATCTAACCTCAGGTTATTTCTTGCTTCTACCATAAGTCATTAACAAATCGTCTACTCGCATACAAGAAATTAGTCGGATGTTTAGCCTTTGGTATGTCCTTCCGTGGTTGGCCAATTATATTTATATATTGACATCACACAGTCTTAATCAGGTAGCAAATGGTGTAATGAAACCCAAAGGCGTTATATTGTCGATTATCATTGTTCACATTTTTTTATTACAAAAATTTCTCATCCTAAAGCAACGCTGAGTTAGTTTAGTGATTTTATTATCATTATCTTACAATTGTTTAACTTTTAAGCAAAAATATCATAAACTCCTAAACATAATCGAAAATTATTAACCTAAACAAATATAATTATCCACTTATCCGCGCGTAGCGCGGAGAATCACACTAGTTTATGTTAATATCTGTTGAAACTATGTTTAATAAGAGGCTATCTATACTATTAAAGGATGATCCTATCTAACTTTTCCCCTTCTAATACCCTTTTATTTACTACCTATGCCACTGCTTTTCAATGTAAATCGCCATCTTCATTAAGGGTATTTCTGTTATTTTACCTTTCTCGATTTCACCCTATTCTATTGGCTTTTGCTTATTGTTGTTGGATTTTATAGGCCCAAACGTGAGAAACAACATGACATACTGAATATCTATCTTCAATAGGCCCAAAACAAAACAAATCCCAAAATGCATAAAGTCTTTAGCTTGGCCATAATGGATACGTATACTAACAAAAAAATCTTCCGTATTTATATACTTGATATTAAGAGTAGATTTTATGTAAAATCTTAACTAACAATATATCTTTAAATAGATTTGTTTGATCACTACTCTAAAGATTTTCCAAAACTGAAATCGAATATGCTATATTCCTTTTCATCCGACGGTTTGAGACCATCGTCTAACCTAATACTATACCTTAGTATATATAGATCCATAGAGTAGTCAAGTTTCCTCACACCTCCTCACAGCTACAATATTCAAAAAACGCTAAAATGTCTTCCATAATGAAAGTAACCTCTTTGAAAGATGTGAAACCCTTCAAAAGTGGTTGGAAAGTGCATGTGAAAGTATTGCACACTTGGAAGCAATACAACGCAGTGCACGGAGACACCCTTGAGATTGTGCTATCCGATGAACATGTGAGTTTTTTGAATATATGTGTTGTGTAGATAGTCTTTATTCTATTTATAGCTTTCAGTTTTGTTCTCTAACAGTTTATTATTCAATGTTTAATGCATATACTAGGGGAATAAAATCCATGCCTCTTGCAAGAAAACTTACATGGAGAGTAAAGGACGCCTTCTTCCTGTTGGAGCATGGAGACACATTCAGAATTTCAGCCTCAGTGCCGCAACTGGATCCTATCGAGCAACCGATCATTCCTACAAGATGAGTATCCTTCAGAATACAACAATCACGAGGTCTTCTCTTGTGAATGAAGACATGTTCTTAAGTTTGGTGGACTTTCAGTCTATTTTGAGTGGATCACTCAACACAAATTTTTTCATTGGTAATTTAAAAATCAAGTTGTTTTATTATAATTTCAATAACATTAACCGCTAATTCTTTAAATTATTTTACAGATGTGATTGGTCAGGTTGTCGACTTTGGAGAGCTTGAAACAATCCAAGTCGCAGGGAAACCAAGAAGGAAAGTGGAGTTTACATTCCGTGACATCAAGTAAGTTTTTCTCAACTCGCGTTTATTATTTTGACCCATCATGCAAGTTCATAGGAATTTAATTCTTATTCTACTTCTCATAATAGTGCCTCTCGTGTTCCCTGCTGCCTCTGGGGAAAATTTGCTGAGATCCTGTATGAGGGTTGCAGTAAAGAAGAAGGAAAACCCATATGTCTGATCAGGTTTGCAAAGATCGAGAGATTTAGAGATATTACAGTTTGGATTTCATCTATTATGTTCAAGTGGGATGTTAACTGTATTACAATATACTCACTTATATATTTTGATCAGGTGAACTCCAAATCACCAATGCATTTGAGGCATCACAGCTTTTGCTTAATCATGCGATTCCAAAGACTGCTGCCTTCAAACAAATGTGGTGTTTTCATTCATCATTAATATATATTGTTCTGTGCAGTGTCATGTATTTACAAACCTGATTTCATTATGTTGTTTATACGCATTTTAAGGTTTGTTGATGAGAACAAAACCCTCACCCTTTGGGAGTCTCATGATGAGAAACTTGAGTTGGATGAGATGAAAACTATCCAAGGCAAGCGTGACAAATGGTTACTCTTTCCAAGAAGAACCATTCGTGAACTACTTGATTCAACTCAGGTACATGACTTGATTTACTTTATGGTGGCGATCTAAATAAGCTCAGTTATATACATTGACTAATCAAGTGGTTATCAGGTTGAAAATTTCTTGGTCACATGCACTGTCTATGAAACTGACAGTGACTGGGGTTGGTATTATTTTGGTTGTTGCATATGCAACAAAAAGATGGTAAAAGTGGGCACTTTAGTGAAAAATCTAAATGGTAAAGAGATAACTACTCATATCTGGTGGTGTGACGTGTGCAAAGAGAATGTCTCTAATGTGTCTCCAACCAATTTTGTTACTCTTGGTAACTGATTAAAATTTTAAAGCGTTAATAATTCAACTCTCATTTTCAGTTATGTTATTCACGGTGCTGTTTGTAGGTTTAAGGTGCATTTGATGGTTAAGGATAATACATGCGAAACAAAATTGATGCTTCTTGACTTGGTTGCCAAAGGAATGTTTGTTGAATCAGCAACAAAGCTGCTAAATGGATCATTCGATGAGGTATAATTTTAAAACCATCTATTTTTATTACTATTTTTAAGGTGAGATAAAATTGCAATGTGTTACTAAATATCATTAACGCTTATTTTGTTTTTTATTTAGCTTGAGGATCCTACAGACATGCCTGACGCCATCGTTGCTGTTGTTGGAAAGACATTTACATTTGGGATTTTTGTGGAAAAAGAGCATGTATTGTATGGATCTGAGATCTACAAAGTTGGGAAAATCTACAAAGACAGAATGGTTGCTTTAACTGATTCAGTCAGTCTTGAGAACTCTCAATCTGATTGGGTTTTTACTCTTACAAGTGATGAAGAGGTATGTCTTAATTTGTCTGTTATTTATCTTATGTAGATGATAGTAACGTCTTTCATTTATTAATTACAAGACTTACTAAAATGTTTTTTTTTGTTACATATTTTAGACCTCTGTTAATCTCAATCAAAGTCAAGAACACACTGATGGAATGTCCACACCATCCCCAAAGCGAAAGGAAACGTGTACTGAAGCAGAAGCAGATTTAACTTCGACATCCAAGAACCGTGCCCAAAAACTATCGAGGTGGAGAAGATAAATGATTTGGAGGCTGAAGCAAGAAAGGAAAACTAAGACGTGGATTCTGATGTTTCTACGCGGTTTTTATTGGTTTTATGGTTTTATAATCTACTGAAGCAGTTTATGTTTTGTTTTTTTTTTTAATTATTGTTTGGCTTTTTAAAAATTTATTTCATTGTTTTTCTTTGAACTATTTAAAGCGCAGAATTATTTTCTATAAAATATAAATATTTAATAAAAATCTAATTTTTAAGACAATTCATGTATTTTAGTTACAAATACAACATTTTATAGATGACATCTAATTTGTTAGAAGATCATTTTCAATTTTTTTTATGTAACTAAAATAATTATTTTGTTTTGGTTTTATAAGATCATCTATATCTAATTATTTTAACTATTTTAAACTCGTATGTACAGACGATAAAATTAGTAGTATATTATATCAGTATAAGAGCAATTTTTTCAAGTGTAATGTTTTATAAGATAGATTAGATATATTGTTAGGATGTTAGGATATTATTATATGTAAATACAAAAAGGGAAACTTTGGAAAAATACCATGAAAATAGATTTTATTTTGAAAACTACACTGTGTTTTTATTCTTTTGAAAACTATACTTATTTCTAAATGAAAAGACTAAATTATCCTAATCCTAACTAACAATTTATAGTTGCGTTCATTTTGAATTGAAAGTCTATCACAATTGCTACATCACTTGTTGTAGATCGGAATATTTCATAATCTGTGTAAAAATATGACATATGAAACTGTTGTATTTTAATAGATAGAATATGCCCAAAGTGCGAGAGAAGCAGATATCATAAGTTAAGTTTTCTACAAACAATGTTAAGATCAACATGGTTAAGCTTATTTTTTACTTTGTGGTGACGTAATACGTGAAGTGCTTGTTACCAGTGTGAACAACATCACTCATTGGAGAATAATGAGTATTCACATGCTCATAAAAAAGAAATCCCATTCCCACCTTAGATGATCATCTCACATGTCTCCACAAATAGGATTGAAAGGTTTATAACTCTTTCTAAGTACACATATGATAGAGCCGGAAACAAAATCACGCACGATATTCCTAGAATCAAGTTGTTGCTTATCTAGTCATTCCCTTCCGCATCTTGTCAAACAAAATAATATTACGTAGAAATGCTCTTCTGCATCTTCTTTACAACCTCCTGGATTTATGACTTGAATTCATTCATAACTAAGCAATCTGAAAAAAAGTACAATACAGCCATTAGCAAATCTTACGTGGTTTCTTATGAATTAAACACCTATTCATAATAACTTTTGTTACCACAACACACAGTTTTGTTAGAATATTAGTGTGTGCCTTAACCTACATTGTAGTTAAATATAACTTTAATTTAAATTAGGGAAAAAAATATCTTATCAAAAACGAATTAGTGTAGTTTTCAAAAAAACAAAATAAACAGTGTATTTTTCAAATTTTAAATCCTAAATAAGGTATTTTCCTAATTATCCCATAAAAAAGTTTTTTTAAGTAATTTTCTACAAGTTGGTTAAAAAACACATAAGAAAGAATCATGACTTATATATTAATAGATAAGATTTAAATCAATAGCAAAGATACCTTTTGTATAGTCAGTTTGCACTAATTTTTCCTCCAAGACACTAAAAATCAAGATAGCGTTGCCAGCCTCTTCTTTGAATGTTGTTGGTGCCCCCTGGCCATCGGCGTCAACCTTGTTGTGCTCCTCTCTTCTCGCATCCAACTCTTTCATCCATCCGTGTACACCTACGCGGCGGTTCTCGTCCTCTTACTTTGTATATATCGATGTCTTTGTCTCCTTCCTTCCTCGCTCCGACGGGCCTCTGTTTAGACCGTTTCTTATTGTAAATAAAGGAGTCTGTTCTGCTCTCTTCGGGTTTACCAAATCTTACTTTGTTTGGGGAATCCCCATATCGCCATTAATTTCACCTCTCACCTTCAGACATCTGAGCTCTATTTGTCTCGGCGGTGGTTATGCCACCATTTAATCATTGGCTTCTTTCATGAAGAGCGCATCCTCTCTCACTTTAAAATGGAGTTGTTTATCCAAGTCTATAATTGTTTTGCTATCTTGTGTGACGGTTCATTCAGGGCCTGAAGATGCAACGAATTTCTTTTAACTACATTTCAAGGTGCGAGGATCCAAGGTGACTATTTCTAAAGTTTCTGGCGCTGCTAAGAACCATGTTCCAACACATCCGAGTCCTGCTCTGAGTTCGATGTTGTTTTATCCCAGAGTTTAATTTATTGCTATTTTCTTATATTGTAGTGTGTTATGCTTGGAGAGTCTTGCATAACTTTCCCTCTAATATATGGGCCTGTTGTTAAATCTATGGACTTGTACTTCTCTTCTCTTTACAAATCTCTGTCAGTGTTTGAAAATTCACATATGCTTGGAGAGTTGCCTTTCAAGCAACTCTCTTCCTCTTATAATTGATAATATAAATCTATGTCTTTTGTCTCTTGGTGACAAGCTAAAGGAACTTTATTTTCTTCTCTTCTGGACTAAATAAAGCTTTAATAAGCTATTTCATCTATATCTTTATAATTTGTTGTTTAAGCTCTTTTATGAGCATGACGAAGCTTGTTGTGTATCTGCTATCAAGATTGTGGACGAAACTCACATGATCTTAAGAAATAGCTACAACATTACAATATCAATATCTGCTAAAGTTATAAAATGGTTCTAACATGTAGAATCGAGATACAGCGAGAAATATAGTGCACACAGTAATTTCAAAAAACTCTTTTCTCTTTTATTAGAAATCCTTTACACAATCTCTTATAGATTTGTTTGATCCGATTTACTGACTCGCCACGGATCGATTCCTAAAACACCCAAGTTGCTTGCCTCAACACCTGTTGATCAAGCCTACCAATTCACTCAGCTATGAAACCCCAAAACCCTTTGTGTTTCCCTCTGAGAATTACAACGTGAAAAACCCTAGATACAAAAGCTAAGTAAAACCAAGATATATATTAAATAATCTTTTCCTATTATTTAATATATTATTTCCTTATATTTTATCATCATAAATCTCCTAATTTCGCCAACCAAACATATGGAAAATATTCCACATCATCGTTTTTGGCGTTTCCTTTATATTCTCTGAATCTTGTGTTACACATCATTCTCCATGTGTAACAGACATCACGAACCAAAGCTCTCTCACTGCAACAACCTATCAAGCTCTAAATTCTTGAGCTTACATTCTCCCCCTTTTTCACTGAGTTTTACAACTCAAGCTCACTAACCTTTAACACACTATGCTTCCTACATCACACCAAAAGTATAGACTTCTACTCCCCCTGAATCAAGTATCATCTCCCCCTGCTTGAGTGAAAAACTCTTTGAAAAACTTTATGATACTTGTTAGACCATCAAAACTCTCAACACCTTCTAGTAGAAGCCCATCGATCTGGTTCTTCAAGCTCAGTATATTGGTCTTCCATTCGAGTGTATGACACACTGGTATGCTCGTGTGACACACATTTTGTAAACTTAGGATACAAATCCTTTTTTAGCTATCCATACATGTCCATACCTTCTGGGTTCCACATAACAAAGGTCCATCCTCCAGGCTCTCTCAATCTGGTTTCTCTGAGAATAACAGAACGCAACATTATGACCATGATTCACAAAACAAACATCCATTCCTCCGAGTTATTGCAGATTTGGGAGGGTGAAATTTTGTCTGAGCCTTATGTTCCTTTTCCACAGTTGCAAATGTATGTGTTTTCTCAACTTTTGAGCTACTTTCAGGGTGAGAGGCAGTATCTTTTTCAAAGTTGATAACATTGACTGGACTAGCTTGACTTTTTGGAGCAGCACCCTTGTAACCTAAACCCCAGTTCACCTTTGGAGATTGTCCAAGTGATAAAATATGATCTAAAGTTTCAGATCCTTTATTCAACATCCTTAACTTTTTGTAATTTTCACTGAGTTCTCTTTGCAAC